TTATGTGCCCATTTGACCCGTTATTTCACGTTATAAATGGTAATTTTTTTAGAGAATTTATGATTAAAAAAGATTTTTTTTTTAATTTACGTGTAATATTATTTTATTAAAAAATATATGCTTGATAAAAAGAAAAAAAACGAATTATAATTTAATGGAAAATAATGGTGACCGAATGGAGGCAAGCCCCTGTTTAGGCTTCCATTCTCAAAGAATACATTTTTTTTTATAATATATTTTTAATCATAAAATATTTTTAATAAAATAATATTATACATACTTCCACTAATTTAATGTCCTTTTCAAGCGCGCTCTTATTGGGCGTGAAGCAAATTACATAGGTCCATGCTATTGCAAAACATGCATTGTGTAGTTTTGAGGCAGGTATATCGATCGGTAGACCACATACATATCCACAAAAGATTTATCATACCCATATTACAAAAATACATAATAAATTGATAATTCATCAGTCTCAAAGATCGATTTTTGTCCCCTTGAATGTCTTGAGCGGAGTCCACGAGAAATCACAAAATTTCTCTTGCAAGAAATCCAAATTCCGCATAATTTTTTTTTTGTATTTTCGTATATGATATGTGTCTTTTCTCTCCAAAGCTCTCTTCTCATTGTTGCAAGACCAAGAACAATGTTTCTAGCCTCCAGTTTTATGGTAAAAGTGTACACAAATTCCCTATCATGTAGAATTCAACTTAAATTAGGGTTAAAAAAAAATGTTGTGCTGGATGCTAGATAGGCATTCGATAACATGGCTTTCTTTATTTCGATCGCATGGTTATCATCACTGGCATACCCATGGGTGGGCCTAGGGCGGCACGTCCACCCCCCTGCTTTTTTTTTTTTTTAAATCATGCTACATGAACACTTCATTTGATATCAAATTTGACATTGTACCACATGTTGTGGCATGAGTGGACATTTTTAAAATAAAATGCACTTTACCGTCCATTTGCATTTGAAAACACATGGAGTGTCAAACTTCATGTCAATCAATTAATGTACAAGACGCTTTATTCCTTTTTTTTTTTTTTAATTAATTTTTATATGTTTTGTTTAAATTTTCGAAAAAGATATGAAACGAAATCGAAATATTGCATTATTGATATAATTTAAAAGTGTTCAAAGTATA